TCATCGAGGGAACATAAAAGAAAAGATGCATTTTGCGTATTTACCATTTTGAAAGATGATAAGATTTTTAAAAGGTTTATATTTTATAATATATCCTATGTAAGGAAATGCTTTATGTGAGGTAGAATTCACTTGCCTCGAGAATTAGTAGATCTCTTTTCCTCAACAAAGGTTTGGCGCCCACCGATTGCAACAGGAGAAGCCTGAGACATTCAATGATTGATGATAAATCACTCTGGACAACAACACGTTCTTATCTTTTTAATAGTACAAGTAAATCAATGATTGGGAGACATAAGCAACATTAAAAAAACCATTTTCAGATCATTAGCCTCTGGCACTCCTAGCAACTTCATTCAAATTAAACACCGTCATAAAAACTCTATACTTCAATAATCTCATGCATTCAAAGAACAAATAGAGCTACATACATCCAGAGCCTTTTGCACAGAGCTTGCCTCCTCAAATTCCACAAAGCCGAAACAAAAACCTTGTTGCTGCACCAAAATATATATATATATATATAAATATAAATATAAATATAAATATATATATAGCCAGTCATATTAAAATTCTAACACATGTATTATATAAAAATGCACAATCAACACCCAATTTCAACATACTTTGTTGCTTCTGACTTGAATTCCCTCATTCTTGATAGCCCCAAACTTCTTAAATACCTCCTCCAGCATGGAATCGGTAGCATTCATTGGCAGACCCTTTATGTAAATTGAGTGACCATCAGCTGCGTAAATTAGAGGATCATGTCACTTAGAAAATAAATCCAACCAGAATGATCAAAGAAAGTTGTCATATATGAAAGGGAAAGATCAGGACTTCATGCCTTCACCATCTTGATAATTGCCATTATCAACAACTTCGTAACAGGGTACTGCTCCATCCGTTGCTGGGACAAGTGTACGGTTTGCTTGCTCAACGTGCTTCGGTGGAGCCTTTCTAGGAGCAGGAAGAGGGGGTGAGATAATTGCACCACTTTCCTTCAGATGCTTCACCTGAACAATGTTACGTGATGGATAAAGACTAGGATAACAAGAAAGGAACCCTCTACCACACTGACATGTATGAAAAAAAAAAAAAAGAAGACAGTAATTGAGTAGAACTAGGAGCCAACAGTAATTCAGTCAAACTGGGAACCAAGCCATGGTTTGAAGTAAATAAAGAAGAAAACAAAGACGGCAGAAATTTCACTTTGGCCGTTTAAAATTTGAATTTAAATGTCCAGTTCGGGCAGAAAACCAGCAGTTCTCATCCAGTACAGGTTTAGAACCATTGACCACCGTTCCAAAATTTACATTTTGATCAAAATATTAAATTTCGAAATTTCTAGTTCAGGCGGGAAACCGGTGGTTCATCCGATTCCTCATAGGAACTGTAAACCGCAGGCTCGGAAAACAAAATATTTATGAACCGACCCATATTTAACCGGTCACAGGACTGTTCGGTTAACCCTAATTCCAAACCAACAGTTCTCCAATCCAATACAAACCAGTTGCTATGTCAACTCAACGGTAACCTTTTTTGTGAGTATCCAACTTTATGTACGAAACTCAAGATAGTATAGAGGTAGATTCAAATAACTATGCTAAGTACTTCATTAAAATTTAGAGTTCTAATTTACACAGTGCTTATAGCCACTTACGATAGAGGCGTAAGATTTCTTTGGTAATTCCTCAATTTTGGCACTGGATTCCACAACCTGTATATCATCTTGCACTTCGTCCACAACTTCAGCTACCGGGACTTCTTCGTCAACAACTTCTTGTTCAACCAGAGCCTCACAATTTTCAGGGGGGTTGTAAACTTCTCCCGTGATAGCTTCCTCTGTAGAAGGCGTGCTTTGCTCGGAAACATGACTCTCATCAACGGTATCAGCAACAGCTAAGCATCAAATGAAAAATAAATTTATCCTCCAGGGAACATACAAGAACGTGGATACAACAGTAGAAGGAACAGAAAATTTTTTTACCTGAGGCCCTTGTTTATAAAAGAAAGGGGCTTAATTTTTCAAATTTCAGCTTTTCTAAAAGCAAGGAGTAATATACTTTTGTTTCCTGACAAGGAGCTTGTCTGCCTTGTTTTGAAATTTAATTAAACTACAGACTAATTCCGAGTCCCCGACTGACTATCAACATAAAACTGGAGCCCGGATCAGCAAAAGAAAAAGAATATTTTGATCCTTGACTGAGAAATCTAATATATTGGAACCTCAATCTGGAAAAGACTAAAACTTGGGCTCTGATATGAAATTCTCGTAGTGAAATATGTTGATTACCTTGTTCATCTGTAACTGGCTGCACAACATCAGTGACCAAGGCCAGATTCACGTGGGGACTATCCACATAACGGAATATGTCATTTAGTACAAAGTATCCCCTATCTTGTGGGGCAAGGAAGAAAGCTTGAGCAAAATGACGGACTGCATTGTCCTTTCCCGTCAGATGGCCAATCACAAAAACATGCACTCCACCATTATATGACTCTTGCGCATCCACTGACTTGATTTCAGCTCTGAAATCATCATAGTTGAGGGAAACAATCTTCTCATTTATGGCCTGTTTGGTTAAAGTTATATGCAGGCAAAGAAAGCATTTTAATATCTACATTTGCATTCAGACCCGAACTCAATCACATACGAACACACAAACATAAATAAATAAAAAAAAAAAATCAACAACAAATCAGCATCAGTTTCAATTAGCAATAGTAACTGGAATGCAGTCAATTTAGTTGCCTAGCATTTTAACCATAAACCCAAATGAAAATGAAGAAAATATATATGCTAACTATACACTCTACACAAGGCACGCGCATAAATTAAAGATTTTCTGTTAACTTCTCTGCTTTTCTCATCTAGCAAGTTAAGAAATCAAGCTCTTAGACTACATAAATGTCTAAAATTGAATTAGTCTTAATCAATTAAAAATGAGACTTTTACCAATCTAGTAAAAAATTATTGGAATAAAAATGTAGTTTTCTGATTACAAAAAAGAATTGAGGAAAAAACATCACCAAACCAATATTAAAACGCAAGTGAGAGGGAGAACTAAAACTTACTTGCATAGTGGTGGTGATACTCACTGTGCCATCCTCCTCTGGACGCCCAAGCTTGCTTATGTCCTGATAAAACCGGTGCACAAGACATGGGGAGTGATGCAGAATGTGATAGTACTGCTGCACAAATGCATTCCCAACCTATTCCCGCTCAGAACCAAGGTCAATTAGCTTAAATAAAAAAAATACCTTTCACTGTAAAATGTCGGAAAATTAAAGAGACACTCACGACTTGCGCAGAAACTGGTTGCTGAGCTGCCGCCTCCGCTGGTGCCGCCATCACCGGTCAACGATCTCTTCAAAATGCCTGCAAAAAACTAAATCACATAACCTACTAACCAACTTTAGTTACTTACACTCAACCTCGAACAACCCCAACCTCACAGATCTTACTGAACATTTAAAAAATTCCGCAACACACAAAGGCACACAGCGCTTCCTATGTATACATNNNNAAAAAAAGAGCGATGAATCAGGTCATACCTCTAAGAAATTCGTACTCTGTGGGGAGCTCGAGGGAAACCCGTAACAGATTCCTTTATCTCTAACCTTCTAACTTTGTTCAGCGAATAAAAAGGTATATCGCCGTACTTACGGCGTCGGGACGTAGGGTTTAGGGTGCGGAATCGCTGGAGGAGCGGTGGATCTCGATGAGGCGAGACGGCGTGGCGTAGAGAGAGAAATGGGCAAGGAAGGGTTTCTGAAGATTTATAAATGAAAATGGCTATGATATGAATAAAAGTTTTAATAGCAATTTTTTATTTTTATTTTTTCTCCAAAGGCAAATCAAATGTTCAAGGCATAATCAAATGACTACAAAATGATCAAGTCTCAACTATAATAGTAAGCATCGATAATGTTTTAGGTTCATTTAAAAAAAATACAAGTCACGTGGAAAATAGACTCAATATAAAAAAATATATACTTCAATGTATGTGCAAGTGGACTGAGTTATACTGATGTGACCAAGAAAAAGAGCATCGTTCTACCCTTAAGTCTATATTAAACTCAAGTAGATACCTAATTTCTTTGCATTTGAGTTAATTTTGTTATTTTTATATATTTTTGTCCATGTCATCCAATATTTTGGTCTATTTACATGTTACGTAAACAAAATCACATCGAAAGCATTGTAGATGCAGAACACACGAGTGAAACACAAAAGAATAGCATCAATAAGGGATATAATTTCCTTTACAACCGCATCATCCTCAGCTTCTCTAACATTATTGTTGTTGACTTGTAGCTTCCATATCCACCAAGCACACCACATCCTCCCAACATTCTTCAACACAAGTTTCCAAGATCCACTTAGTCTTCCTCAAGTTCAAAATCTCCTCGTTGTTGTGACTATTCTGTCCAAACCTTTATAGGCTAGTTACTGTTGGGATTTGTAAGTATCCCGTTATGTACAAATCACGAATTCAATAGCAAACGTAAACCTATGCGCAGCGAATCTAAAGGTTTGACGTAGATAACTTACGACTTAAAATTTATGGCGATCTAGCTGATCTTCCGGATGGCCGTACACAGCACATGAACGGAACTGGATCACACGACCGGAAAACAGATCGCGCGATCGGGTCATGTGGACTGCTCGTGTTGTCGCCGGTTCGCATCGCAGGGCTCGCAGGGTCGCCGGTTCGTAGATGTTGGGTCATCGGCTGGTCGCGATCGGATCCAACAGCTTCATGGTGGGTCACGGCGGTCGGTGGCTTGGGCTGGGGTCGACGGATCTCGGCCTTCGGGTTGAGGTTCGTCGACTTCTGTAGAAGATTATCGGGTCTCAATTACCTATGGATCTTCTACTGTATTACTCAAACACCCTTCTTCAACTTGTACCAGTGGAGCAACAAGAAGAAGATAAAGCTCGAATGAGATCTGAGAGAGAGAGGGGCGTAGGGCGTGTATATCGAGATTATGACATGTGTGTTCTCTTCTCATGAGCTTAATGACGTATATAGAGCTACAATAGGGACCCTTAGGAGATTAGGAATAGGGCTCCTTAATTAATTAGACTAACTATGGGCCAAGCCCACTCTTCTAATTAATTAAATAATATTAATTGACCACCAACATTATATTATTGCACTCCCTTTTCCTAGCCCAAATTACATGTGAGACTCCAATTATAATTACTCGATTTACCTCCCTACTTTTAAGATATAATGTCCATTAATTAATTCGATTACTGACAATCAAGAATTAATAAATTTATTATTATTTCACCGAAGCTAACACTCGTTCACCACATTCTTATTATGTCGGAACTTAATCCACCTGGATGGTTTAGCATAACAATCATTCATGAACTCACTCCGGGGATATCATCAAACTAACGCACATGGTAACTGTAAATATTCCAACAACACATCCTATATATAATAATATTACCCAAAACAGTAGAAATATTATTCCAGTGAACTGGACCTCACCCAAGTGCATCAAAGTAATATGTACTACATATATATGTCTGTTTAATATCTTGCGGGCTAAGAGAACGCAATAATTAATCGAGGCCTAGTTCATTTACGACGATCAGTATAAAATGAACTTCTCCTCTCTGGGATCCTGTTCAATACATAAATGTACTAGTGCAACTAATCAGTCAAGACAAATTGTACAGTTGACACTACAACCGTTCGGATGGGGTGCTCATGTCCATCTAGGTCGTGAACGACTATTTTTGTTCGCAAGTAACTGATAGAATGATCTTCGTTCGCCAGATGACGACCCACTCTATCTAAGTGTAGAACAACAGAACGTAGAACTTGTTTAATCTAACATGATTCTCATTCATAAAGGGCAAATGTGTAATAACATGCAAACCCAAGCTTTCAGTATATAACACTAACAGTTACATTTCTCTGCTATTCTTTTAACAAAAACATGCTCCCCAGTTGAGCCTATAACACTGATAGACATAAGGATCTGCCCTACTCTCATAGAAAATTTCTCTCATGTGATTTTGTTTAAGTTTTGTAGCTCACTTACATCTAACCTACTGCAATTTCAGTGAACTCACACTAGTCCATCTTTGCCTTCTCCACCACTTCTTGTTTAGAAATCCACTTCTTCTCAAAAAGTCAACTATCCCTAGTTCTCCAAAGCTACCAAAATAGATAAGTAGAGAGACTTATTCTATCTTTGATGGCCTGTAAGTCAAAATATCAACCCACCAGTCTTTAAATGAACAAGCGCCAACATCCAACTTCTGCCCATTTAACCCCAAATGTTTCCAGCAAATTTTGCTTTCCTGCAATTGAAAAACATGTGCTCCAAGTCTTCTTCAGTTTTTCCATAGCCTCTGCATATCTCATTCACCTCGACCCTTTTTTTCCTGAGTCGACAATTGGTACTGAGAAAACCATGTCAGCTTCCCAAATGAAATTCCCAGTCATCTTTTGGATAGACAGTTTTCGAGTTTCAGTTCACATTCTTCTCTCCAGACTAGCCTAATTGCTTGCTTCTATTTTTCCTCTGATAAGAGCCATGTCTTGTAACAACAACTCATAACTTGATTTGATAGTAAACAAACCAGTCTTGTTACCTTTGCAGATAATTTGTCCTGTTGACCCCAATTTTTCAATGAGATCTTCAAGATTTGGCGTGCAATAAAAGGGTTAAAAGTCTGCTTTACAAGCTCCTCATCCTAACTTCTCTCACTCTAACTTAAAAGATCACTCACCCAAACTAAACTATTTTTATCCCTCAGAAAGTGGCACTCAGGGTTTTTCTCTTTAATGTTAGGGATCCAAGGGCAATCCCAGATACCAATAGTGATGCAGAATAGTGTTTAATATTTTATTATTACTATTATTGTTATTATTATTATTAGTATTATTATTAGCATTACATATTTATTATTATTATTATTATTATTATTATTATTATTATTATTATTATTATTTAATATTTATTAGCTTTGGCTTGGTGGACAAGTTAGACATAGGGTTTTTGAGAGACTTATTTAAAGGACTCATCTTCTTAGGGTTCCCAATTGTCTTCCACGATACATCAGTTGGTATCAAAAGTCAGCACAATTCACGATGCCGCCATGTCGACGAGATGTAATTGCCGGCATGATGCCGCCATCAACGATCAGTTTCAGTAGATGGAAGACCGATTTCAGCAGATGGACAATCGATTCACAGATATGTCAATGGGTATCGAGGAATTGCATCTCACTATCCGTACCATGGTGGAGGGTGCGTATACGTACCACAATTCCAACGACCGAGGCGTGTGTGGCGGATTCCGCGGCGGACGAGACATAGACGCCCCACCGTAGTTCACCACAACCGCTTCCCAACGAGGACGAGGGTGAAGAGACCATTTCGGACGCCAATCCCTTCAACAACGGGCAGATGCACCGTGAAGCTAAGGGCTTCGACGAGGACAACCTTCACGACTGTCGTTGTTTGGCCCCACGTTACGTGGATTTTGAGGAGCAACAGCGTGGCAAGCCTCGATGTAAGACTGAAGGCTTCGGTGAGTCGCGATGGGAGACGAGTTTTTGGGTAGAGCATCTTACTGGCAATGCTGGCAGTTACTACGATGATCCACCAGTTTTCGATGAGGAGCATCTAGGGCTGGAGGAAAACTTGGTCGAGGATGTCGACGGATCACGTGCTTTGTTCACGGAGGACACCGACTTCGACGAAGGACCACCAATATTCGTTGAATAAACACCAGAGAAAGAGGAGCTGTTTGGGGCACCTACACTGGCTATGGCCAGCCGCACAAGGATACCAGCATCGGGGACTGTCAGCCATCTCGTGGGCAGTTTGTAGTGTTTTTCTTGCGGCGATCTAGGGCGTCGACAAGCGTCTTGTCCTACGCCAAGTTTTTCACGTGCGCTTTTTGGTGGGGACTGCAGGGTCGTCGACTATGATGGGTCGTCTATGTTTGATGAGGAGCAGCCAACGACTAAATAGCATGTCTGCAGCGATGCGGGCCCATTGCACATATGTTTCACACAATAATTGGATAGGCGTGCATTTCATAGACAATGTAGGTTGGATAATTCCTCAATTCTTGGGCATGCTACAGACACAAGCCACTCTCGTATTGAATTACAATAATTTGAGTGGGATAATTCCTGAACAACTAAGTTACTGTTTAATTCTTGAAAAATTGAATGTGTCCTTTGACAACTTTATTGGGTTGATCCCGCTTTTGGGTGATTTGATTAGGCACTCGATTGTCGAGCATGTTGTTCCCGATGGTGGATACATGCAGGCTCGAGTCCCACCACAACTTGAAGAATATCAGAGGCTGTTTGTTTTTTTGGGCTATTAAAAGATAAAAATTATCTTTGTCGATTAATGGATGGCGGAGGACGAATCCATTTGAGATTGGGGTTTGTGTGTGGGACAACGGTTGACGACGACAGCGAGTTCGTGTTGGATTCGAGGGCAGATCCTGCTCAACCGAGCGAGAATAATGCAGAATAGTGTTTAATATTATCATTATTAGCATTCCATATTTATTATTGTTATTAATATTTATTAGCTTTGTCTTGGTGAACAAGTTAGTCTTAGGGTTTTGAAGGCTTTATTTAAAGGACTCATCTCCTTTGATGTTCTTGGGTTGATTTTGAATAAGAATATACAATTTATCGAGAGAGTTATCTTCTCTTTATTCTCAATCATCTACCACGCTATATCAAATTGACTTACCATCTCCCAACTTAAACTCTAGACCTTTACCCAAGTCCTCCCTAGCACTTAACCAACTTCTTCAAACCCAAGAGTCTCCACTCTTTTTCACTACACTTCTGCTTATTTAAATATATATCTATCAAAACCCGACTCATAATCAAATTAGGTTGAGTGGTCACTCTCCATAATTGTTTTGCCAGTAAATACTGATTAAAGATTTTGGAATCCCTAAAACCCGGCCCCCCTTGGTGTTTAGGTTTGGTCAAGACACCCCACTCAGCCTAATGCACTCTTTTTCCCCCATCATCCTTCCTACTCCACCAGAAATAAGCAATTTCTCTATTGACATCAGCCCACAAACAAAAGGGAATCTTAAAGCAGGATATGGCATAGGTTGGGAGAGCTCCAAAAATAGTCTTGATTAAGACCTTCTTGCTAGCCTCACTCAAGAAATTATTTTTCCAACAAGAAACTCTTTTGTTAACACTCTCTAGAACAAACAGAAAAGTTTCTCTTTTAGATTTACATATTCCTAAAGGTAGTCCCAAGTATTTTGAGTACTTAACAAGAGATCCCATTAAGGATCATACAGATTTCATCCTTACTTCATGCAAGAGTACTTTTGGAGAAGAAAATAGATGACTTACTCATATTAACCAGCAGACCCAAAGATGAATCATACTCAACAAGAATATTGAAGATTGGAGAAGCATGAGAATTATCAGCTTTACAGAGAAGTAATGCATCATCTGCAAAAAGCAAGTGGGAAATGGTTGGGGAATTACTGCCAATTTTGAACCATTTATAAGATAAGTTCAAGCAAGCTTCAGAGAGCAGGATAAACAAATAAGGAGATAGTGGGCCCCTTGTCTAATGCCCCTAGAGGGTTTAACATAGCTACGAACTTGCCCCTCAATGTTAAAAGAAAAAGATGAGAAGCTAACGCACTCCCTAATCTAGTTCACAAAAACAACAGAAAATCCCATTCTCCTATAGATTTAAAAAAAAAAGGCATTCTACCCTATCATAGACATTGGCCATATCCAACTTCACAACTATTAACCTATCGTTACATTTCCTCTTACTATTGAAAAAATGAACAAACTCATTAGCAACAACCACATTATTAAGGATCAGCCTTCCAAGAATGAAGGCAGATTGAGAAGGAGATTTGGGTTCCATAAAAAACCTCATCGGTATGCACAAATGAATCTAATGAATTAAATCCTAACGCAGCAGAATCTGTAGTTAGGATTAGGACTTACGGTTTAAAATTTTGCCGACTCTGAGTCGTTTCTGATTTCCGTTGTAGAAGATTGTCTAAACCTCAGAGTCCGTTGGGCAGTCGAACTATCTTCGAGATTACCCAATCAGACCTTGGGATCGTCCGGTCACACGTGGTCCAGGTGCTGTTCGCGTGGGTCTGCCAGGATTGCAAGGGTCTCTGTGTGTCGGGCGCTGTCCACGTGCAGGATGCATGTCGGGCACTGAAAGTGTGCTTGCGCGTTGGGCACTGCATGCATTGAGAACAGTCCGTGCGCGTTGGGCACTGACGTGCAGATCACGATCGTCGGATGCTAGCGAGTTTCTCGCGGGTCTGTGCATCACTGCACGGGTTGTTGTCGGGGATCTCGTAGTCTGCTCAGATGCCACCGAGTTGTGTGCGATCGAGCAGGCATCACCGAGCATGGGTCACGTCAGTCGTTGGCTGAGAGCTGGTATGTCGTTGGGAACTGCCACAGGTGGCCGAGTGCAACTCATGGCTGTTCTCGATGAAACGCCGAAAACTCGAAAAACTATACCTCACGATCTTCTGATGTATAACCTCTACACCTACTTTGAATAGTCATGGTGGTGCGACTAAACGAAACTCCCGAAACCTCCTAAATTATAACACTCGATTTTTTCCTCTCTTTTCAAGACAAAAAATTGGACCACATGTATGTATATGAGGAGTGAGACTTGGTATATTTATAGACTACAACAGAGACCCTAAGAAGGTGCTAAATATGAGTTTTTCCAAATAGGAATAGAAGACCTTTGTTGGGGTAGAACAACAATAGCAGCGGACAAAACTACCCTTACAACAAATATGGCAAGCACTACTCCAAACGAAAATAAGCCAACACAAATAAATTAAAGATGAGAAAGAAAAAGAACACAAAAATTGATAACGGAGTTCGGCAAATATTGCCTACGTGTCCAGGCACCGGCAACCACAACGCCAAATTTAGTAAACTTACCAATAAAATACAACTATGGTTAAATAATCCACAAATTAGGATTTCCTTAAGTAAGGATTTCCTTCTAAGAGAGGAGATAATAGAATAAGGTACAATTGTAACCCAAAAGGCAAGGGACCTATTTATACAAATAAGATCCTACACATCTTTGGTATACATCCGATGAGGGACATAAAATTAATCAAAATCTAACAATTCTCCACCTTGACTAATTTTGCTCCCACTTAGACTCTTCAATCCAAATCAACTGCTGGCGGTGCCTCCAAATGCGCCTCTCAGCGCCAACTCAAATATGCAGAATGTTGGTCAAATCTAAACAATGTTCAAACTTGACTGCTGTCACGACCTTGGTCATCATATCCGTAGGATTCTCCGTCGTCTTGATCTTCTTCAACACAACGGTTCCATCTTCTAGAATCTCCCGCACAAAGTGATAGCGAAAATCAATATGCTTCGTTCTTGCATGAAATACTTGATTTTTCGCTAAATGAATAGCGCTCTGACTGTCACAATGCACTAAAACGTGCTTTTGACCAACTCCCAAGTATTCAAGCAAACTTTGAAGCTAAATAGCCTCCTTCACAACTTTAGTAACTGCTATATACTCTGCCTCTGTTGTAGACAAAGCAACTATTGACTATAAGGTAGACTTTCAACTGACTGTAGCTTTTGCAAAAGGGAACAAAATCGTTGATCTTCACTTATCCAAATCACCCCTGTAGTCAGAATCACAATATCCAACTACACATTGACCAACTTCATCATGCTCATAAACTAATCCAACGTCTACAGTATTATGAATGTACCGTAGAATCCATTTCACAACTTGCCGATGACCTTTACCAGGTTCATGCATATACCTGCTAACAACACCAAGTGCTTGTGAAATGTCGGGCCTTGTACACACCATCACATACATCAAACTCCCAACTGCATTTGCATATTAGACTCTATCCATGTACTCTCGTTTTTCATCACAATTTGGCGGTAATTGAGCACTTAAATTAATATAAGGGGAAAGTGGTGTACTTACGGGCTTCGTCTCATATTTTATGCTGAAACGCTGCAGTACCTTCTTCAGATATTGCTTCTGAGTCAAACAAAGCTTGCCTCTCCTTCTGTCCCTACTTATCTCCATCCCAAGAATTTTTTTAGCTTCCCCCAAGTCTTTCATTTCAAACTCTTGATTCAACTGAGCCTTCAAATGATCAATCTCCACTTGACTCTTTGATGCAACCAACATGTCATCCACATACAAGAGTGTATGTGGATTTCCTCATTAAATCTCCATGTAAGAACGCCGTCTTCACGTCAAGTTGAGCTAGCTCTAAATCCAACTGTGCAGCTAAGGCCAACAAAATTCTAATGGAAGAGTGCTTAACAATTGGAGAAAACACTTCATTATAATCAACTCCTTTCTTACGAGCGTAGCCTTTAGCCACCAATCTTGCCTTGTAGCGCACATCATTTTTCTGAGGAAATCTATCTTTCTTTGCAAGTACCCACTTGCATCCTATCGCCCTTTTGCCTTTTGGCAGTTGCGTTGTCGCACCCCGCCTTACTAGCTTTGAAATAATCAGAGTAAAATTTTTGTTTTTATTTTCGAAAGGTCGTGCGAGCTGGGTTTTCGAAAATACTGACTTATTGCGGGATGTGGCAGATAAAAACTTAAACTGAACTTGAGCTTGCTCACAGACGTAATAAAACATGCAGCCAAACTGTCCGCTTGCAGATTATGGAACTATACATGCATAGTCTGTACTATCTCGCACTGTCTAGAAAAACTCGCTGGCGGAAGCATCCAAAATACGAATACATAAACATGCATACATAAACTGAATAAATATACATGATCATAAATTCTAGGACATAAAAATGCTGGGAAAATATGTCCGTCTATCATGACCACGCTGCGCCACATCTGTGCTCATCCGGCACGCTCGACTCCGCCTCCTGAAAAACATAATGGGGGCGTGAGCAAACCACTATGCTCCGCAAAGACCAGTACTGAACAAAACATTATCTATAATAACGTATCATGAAACATAAATATATAAGAGCTGAAACTGTAAACTGATCTCTGATTTCTGTTCTGATCTGTGGTCAAAAGACCCTCGGCCTTGGCCGCTCGTGTGCACACTCCGATGGGGTATAAAGGCCTTGGCCACCCAACCCGGAACTAAACTGTTTCAAACATACCTCTGCCATGGTACAGATATTATCTATGATGTGACATCCAGTACATGACCCCCACCTGAAAACTTGAAATCTGGTATGCAAGTGCTGAACTGGAGTAGCGGTCGGAGGCTCGACTCTCCTTAGGCTACATAAATTTTTAAGCAAAATAATGCTAAGTATAATGCTCGGAATAATTAATTATATGCTAAAATGCTCGGACTTATCTACGCGATTAAACTGGACTGGACTGGCTCAGAAAAATACTGAAATTCTGAAAATAGACTCGGACCGGAAGTCACAAATCAAAACTGACTAGAACCGCCGGTCGAACCGGCCGGTTCGCTAACTGGCCGGACCGCCGGCTCGGCTGGGCCGGGCGGTCGGGCTGGGTTCGGCTAGACCGGGCTCGGTCCCGTGCCGGGCCAGCTGGTGCCCGGGCACGGCGCTGGGCACTGCTGGTGCGACCGGGCTCGGTCCCTGG